ATCGTCTCCAAAGCCAGCCTGAGCCAAGGCTGAATTCAGGGCAGGATGTGGCTTCAGCATGCATGGCCACCAGCCCTTCCTGCAGGAGCCAAGACCCATTGCTGCTACTGCATACCCAGGCACAGCCTGTCATGCCATAATGAGAGCGTGCAATCCAAGAGCGGCCAGCACCCTCCTCCCGCCTCCTCCTCCTTCGCTCATCCCTCATGCCTCGCTGCCCCGCCTAACACACAGCCACAAATTACCTGGGCTAAAATTTGCCCAGCAGAAAACAGCCACTTCCGAACAGGACATTTCCTCTCTTCTTTTGCCCTTGTGGCTGGTGGCAAAGAATCCCATTGGCTAAGCCATCTCAGTAAACAAACTGCTACACATAAATCCACTCTCCAGGACACCCAGCTCTCTCAACACAAAAATGCATTTAACAAAACTAGAAGTCCTCTTTACTTCCCTACAACACAACCTACCAGCCTGGGCCTGTAGAATCATATTGATATGGAAAGTCAACCTAATGGTTTACTCAAAATAACAGCCTCATCATAAACATGCTATTATAACTTTCTGGGTTCTAATGTTAAAAGCTAGTTATCAGCCACAATATAATAGTGCATAAAATTTCTAGATTTTGTTTCTATAGAACAGGTATTCTTATTGTTAGGGCAGACTTTGGCCTGAGGGGCAAGCCTAATTGGTCTTGACAAACTAAAATCCTTAAGCTTTCAAAAACACATGCTGTCTGTTAGATGTGTTTGGGCTCAAGCCTTGACCCCACCATCTGCTGTTGCTGGTCTACTTCTAGGTGAACTACTGGACTTCTCTGAGCATCAATATCCTTGTTTGTCAAACAGATTTGGGTTGTAGTTGACAATCAATCAAGGGAGGGAACTTTGGCAGTTAGAATGACTGCACCCCATGTGGGAGTGCCTGGGCTTTATTCCTGTCTCCAGTTCCTGGCTCCAAGTTCCTGCCATGGATGTGGGAGACCTGGATTACATTCTCAACTCAAAGTTTCAGCCATGGTCCAGCTTTACCTGTTGTGAGCATTTGAGAAGTGAGCCAGTGGATGGAAACTCACTCATATTAATTTTATAAAGAAAATTAAATTAGGCCTTACATATAAATTGCTTTGCATGGTCACTTGCCATAGTAAATGTTCTTTATTGATTACAAAATAAGACATCGTGGCAGATGCAATTATGCAGTTAAAAATGTGCCAGTATTAGCTTCAACCAAAAGATAGGAAGCTGTTAGATGTATCTCACACATAATGAAGATGACAGAGAGGCTTCAAAATCTGAAAGCATGAAAGCATTCAGTTGATAGCTCGCACAATCCCTATGACACAAGGATTTCAAAGACATTTCAATTGGTTATACTTTGTAAATTCACTATTTCCAGTCCAGTAATGCTCTCAGCATTATGATAAAAGCTAAGGGTAACTTACTGAGTCTATTCTTCACCCAGCCAATGTTGTGATTTCATAGCAGCTCCAAAGCAGTTATGATCATGATACATAATTTTCAGAGGGGAAAAGTGAGACAGGCAGCTGGCTTTGGAATCTCCACTCTTGAATTCTATATTATATACCCAAAGTTGGTGAATCATAACCTGGGGGCCAAATCTGGTCCTCCACTTGTTTATATAAATAAAACTTTATTGGAATACTCCTGCTCACTTGCACATTTTTCCATGGCTGGTGCACAAAACAGCTGCAGAGTCGGCTCACCAGACATCTCAATAACCCACAGACCTGAACTCACTTAACTGCCTAACCCTTTCCAGCAAAAATGGCCTACCCCAGATGTCAACATTAAACTTCACAAAAAGACCGGAGTGTAGGAAGGGAAAAATAATACCTCCTAATTATCATGCCTCATGTTTTGTATTTACAGTGGCTATTTACAGCTTTATCTCACTTGATCCCTCCAAATCCTGTGAAGTAGACTGTCTTCATTTCCATTTTAGAGCTAGAGAAACTGGGGCTGGGAGAGACTACGTGACTGGCACCACATACTGGACAGTGATGCCCTGAGTCTAGAGATCATGTGTGTCCAGTGTCACACCTCTGCCTCCTACCACAGTGTGAGAGAGTAGGCACCCGAAGGTACTTGACAGATGAAGGACAGTGGTAAGGGTCACCCCATCAGAAATACCAGGCCTCTTCCTATTCCAGGGTCCCTCCTCCTGACCCCATAGCCACATGGCAGTACAAAAACGGACCTTCTCCAGAGATAGGCTGGATCCCTGGGTAGGGGACACATAAACTGGAGGACAGCAGATGGATTTTCTGCTATATGCTTCCTCCTCCTCTGCCTCTTCTTCCTCCACCTCTTCCTCCTTCTCCTCCTCCTCCTCCTCATCTTCAGTTAGGGTAGACAATCACAGGCAAACCAAAGAGCATTTGGCTTCCAGACCCCTACAAGCACCGTTGTGGGCCCTGAGAGGTTTCTTAGTCCTGCAACTGGTGTTTTGGGATGAATTGAAACCAGCCACCCTCATGATACATGAGCCACATGGGTCTGGGGTTTGGGTGGATTTCAGACCAAGGGCCGCCCACACTCCCCACACCCCTGGACCCACCTCCTATGCAGTGATGAGTCACAGCCCCAGTGCCTGCCCTTCAAGTGCAGCCGCCTCGAGGCTTTTGTTTTCCTTCATCTGGCTTCATGCTGGTCATGTGAGGTTGAGGGTATTAATAGCCCAGCGGCCAGGGCCTTCTGCATCTTACTGTTGGTCAGGGAGACAGGGACAAGCTCTGGCTTGACCCTTTGGGCTGTTTGCATTTCTCTCTTGACTATCATGTGCTGGTTCATGACAGAGCCAAACCAGACAGCCAGGGAGCACTCGGTGTGGTCTCTGTGCATGGCTATGGCCCCTGCCAGCGCTTTTGATTTCCTGTTTCTTAGCATTACTCAGTCCATGCTGGATCTGGGTCTTAAGGCACCAGTGCTAACCAGAGTAAGCCAGTCGCACCTGCTCCTCCTGCCTGAGAGAATGGATAAGCCAGGCACAACAAAGGTTTGAGTCGTGGGCTTTTTTATTTTTCTTTTCAATGTAAAGTAAAATTATGTCCAGGAAGTTGAAAGTTCATCTGTAGTTTAACAAACTCCTAGAAAACTCCGTGAAGATGGTTTTTCAATTCCTGTCGTGCAATTAGAGAGCTGCTCTGACTTGCCTGGGGCGTTGATCCAAGAGTGTTGGTTCTTCCTCAGTTCAGTGTTCCAAGCTTGACTTTGCTTGTTCCTTCAGCCTTGAGAGCAGCACCCAACACCATGTCAAGCTCAGTGTTTGCTGACCTGATGTGAGGTTGGGCTGGAGCCTGGCCAAGTGATGAAACTCTCTTAGGAATTGTCACAGGGATGGAGGTTGAGTTTTGATGTAAAGGAGAAATCTGGGTTGTAGGAAGTTGCAGGAGATTTGATCTACTTTACTGAATCTAAGTCTTCAATCAGTTTCCTTAGGGACCCATGAAGGGGCAGGAGGTCTGACAAAACAAATTCTTTTCAGTTAGCAACTTGTTTGGTTTGATAAATCTATGAAAGGATGACGTGTGTGTCCTTGTTGCAGACTGTTGAGTCCTTTTGTTAGTTGTAAAGTAGTCCAGAAAGTTTAGTCTCTTGAGCCTCACTTTGTCCAGCTGAAAAGTGGGTTGAACCAGACAACCTAACTCCTCAGACAGTCTAAAGATTCACTTTATAAGAGTAGAATTTCTTTTTAATCATGCCACATCTGTTAAAAATGTGGCCCGGGGACAAGAGGGTGTAAACTTAAGACTGCAGTAACTCCTATTATTACCATTATTCTTTGTGGCTGTTGATCATGAGAATGGGCCAAGATCCTTTAAGAATTAGAGCTTTATTTGGCACCTGATTTGTGACAGGTCACAGTCAAAGGGCTGTGCATGCCTTCTCTCATCTCAAGCTCACAGCAACCTTGCAGGCTGTCAGAATTACACATAGAAATAAAGAAACCACAGCACCAAGAAAGTCAGAAAGTTGCCCATGGACACAGAGGAAATCAGGGATTGACTGGAGGCTTGAACTAAAAACACAAAGACCCTAGTTGTTAACCCTAGGGAATCCATGGCCTGTAAGCAGAAATAGGGAGATGGGACACACATGCCTACATTTCCCCCTGGTCCTAGCAGCAGGTGCAATGAGATGCTCTAAGTAACAGGCGTGTTTAGTGAATGCTGTGTAAGTAGGAGATGGCGGCCTGAGAGTCCTCACTTCCTTGGGGGGTAGTAGGAGGTTGTATAATAGGTACCCAAACACAGGCATACACAGCTGACAAGGTCTAGAGTTGCACAGCACAGTGGGGTAACTATACCTCATAATACTGCATTCTATTCTGTATAAAGAACTGGAAGAAAGCAGCTGGAAAGCTCTAAATACAAAGAGAAGATAACAAACAGAAAGGCTAGCTGCCTGGCCTCATCAGTTTACACTGTGTACATGTGTGCAAGTATTGCCATTCATCTAAACATTTAAAAAATCAAGTAAATCAGTAACATAGTGATGGGAGGAAGAAAGAGTCGCCCCGTCCTCGGCTCATGCATGTGGTCGCCCAGCGTGAGCTTTTAGGCACCTCGAGAGCAGACAGTGGCAGAGAGCAAGTTCAAGTACAGGCAGCAGGGTGATGGTGTGGAACCTGGGTGTTCACAGATCATGAGAGGTTTTATTCTCTTCAGAGGATGTCAGCATCACTCACTGAAGTGGGACACGTAGAATGGGTTAGCCAGAGCTGAAGCCACAGCTCTTTATATTGAGAAGAAAGAAAGAGAAAAAAAATCACTGACCATCCAGCCTGGTGCCTGGGTTTCACATTACCCCCATTTGTCTTTTCACTTTGAGCATCTGTTTCTGATTGCTCTTGGCCCCACCTGCCATTTACCTCTCCCTGAGCGTCCGTGACTACGTGTCATGTGATTCAAAAGTACAGATTAGTGGAGAAAGCTAACTCTGTCTTCTAAGCCTGGCGACTTCTATTTTTACCCACAGCTGTTGGAACTGATAGCAAAGTCACAGCTCACATCCCTGAGTGGCATCGCTCAAAAGAACTTCATGAACATTTTGGAAAAAGTGGTCCTAAAAGGTGAGCACTCCCTCTCACGCTCTTGCCCTTCTTACCGATGTGGGGACAGGATTTTCCAACTGAATGGACAAGGCACCAGATGTAAAGGACTGAGAGTGGATGGAAGTTAGCAGCTCCAGCAGCTATATATCCAGGGCATTGGCGGGGAGCAGATTCCAGTTCAGAAGAGGATGCAACTTGTGTCCATCACCTGCCAGTCCTTTCTTTAGTATCAGCCATCTGCCCTTCTATGACAGCTTTTCAGGTGTCTCAGGATAGACACCTGTCCTACCCCTTGGTGACTGAGCCTCCAAATTCCTAGAAAACTAAGAGGCATACCAGGCAGACTAGATTCTGAGAGTAATCAAACTAGCCAAGGAACCTTAAGTATCTGGTTCAATTGTCCATTGTGCACAGAGAAGCTGAGGCCCCTCAGAAGGAGTGATTTATCCTTAATTCCTTAGCCAGCCCATCAGAATTAGAACCAAGCTGATCTCCCAGAACTGTGTCTCTGCTGGGGAGAAAAAGAAGAAAAGGAAAACAGTGCTTTCTGATCAGGTGAGCCTTTGGTGTCGATGGAACAATGAGATGAAAGGGGGGCTTGATAGAAAACCAGAGAGAAGAGAACAAAAAGAACCCTAGATTTCAGAAACTCTACCCTTAGCCTCAACTGCAGATGCTTGACCAAATGTTGAATAACAGCCAGTGAGAAAGAAAACCAGCCCCCAGGGGCAGGGTCCAGGGATCTGAGCAGAATGAAGAAGAGAAGCCAGTTAATCAAAGATGGGGGTGCTTCTCCAATCATAATGTGGATTGTGTGGGTTTTTTTCTTCCTTCCCCATTCAAGTCCTTGAAGACCAGCAGAACATCAGGCTCATCAGGGAACTGCTGCAGACCCTGTACACTTCCCTGTGCACACTGGTGCAGAGAGTCGGCAAGTCTGTGCTGGTCGGGAACATTAACATGTGGGTGCACCGCATGGAGACCATCCTGCACTGGCAGCAGCAGCTCAACAGCATCCAGATCACCAGGGTAAGCAGGTGCCCTCTACCAGGCAGCCAGGCCTGTGCACAACCTGGCCACAGAGGGCATGCAGGGGTCTGCTTTGAGTGGATGTGAGGTTGCTTCATGCTGGTGCTGAGATGGGCTGGGGCCTTCCTGGTAGGGACAAGGTGGCAAGGACTTGGCCAACATGATCCATGTCAGAGACAAAGGCAGCCAACTGAAACACTATGGGAAAGCAGAAACTTGGCTTAGACAGATGAGCTGGCTAGCCTCCTGATTTTTTTTTATTATGTTCTTTATTCACTTACTTATGTTTACCTTAAATGCAGACAGATCAAGACAGAGACTTTTTATCCCTGTATGCCTGCAGCACCTAGAGCTGAGCCAGGCTTGATGCCAGGAGCCATGTCTCACAATGTGCATGCCTAGGACCCCAAACTCTTGCACCATCATTCACTGCCTCCCTGGGAGCACATTAGTAATATTAGGAGTAGAGCTAGAAGTTGATCCAAGATACTCTGACATGGGAAGTAGACAATCCACGAAGTATCTTTATTTTGTAATTTATTTGTTTCCTTTTTTAAAAGATTTATTTTTATTGGAAAGGTAGATTTACAGAGATGAGAGACAGAGGAAAAAGATCTTCCATCTACTGGTTCACTCCCCAAATGGCCACACAGCCAGAAGAGCTAGCCCAATCTGAACCCAAGAGCGTGGATCTTCTTCCCAGCTAGACACATGAGCAAGGAGCTGGATGAGAATTGGGGCAGCTAGGACTCAAACTGGCACCTCCATGGGATGCTAGCACTGCAGGCAGAAGCTTAATCTACTGCGCAGTAGGACCTGGCATTGTGGTATTGCATGTGAAATCACTTCCTGCAATGCCAGCATTCAGTATGGTTCAAGTCCCAGTTGCTCCACTTCTAATCCAGCTCCCTGCTAATGGCCTTGAAAAGCAGAGGAAGATTGCCCAAGTACTTGGACCTCTGTCCACTAAGGAGATCTGGAAGAAGGTCTAGATCTTGGCTTCAGCCTGGCCCAGCTCTGGCCATTGTGGCCATGTGGGCAATGAACTAGCAAATGGAAGATCTTTCTCTGTCCCTCTCCCTCTCTCCTTGTAGCTCTTCCAGATAGATAGATAGATAAATAGCCTCTTTTAGATAAATACCCAGCAGAGGGATGGCTGGATCATGCTGCAGTTTCTTTCTAGTTTTTTTTTTTTTTAATTTCCACAGTCTTTTCAATAAAAGGTATTGGAAAGCTTGGCATGCATAAAGGAGTAAAATTAGATCCCTGCCTCTTACCATATATAAAAATCACACAAGATGGATCAAAGAGCTAAAACAAAAAAGAAAGAAAACAAGTAAAGGCCTCAGGTTACCAGCAAAGCATAGTTCTTCCTATCAGTAGTTTCTTTGGGCTTTCAAAACAAAACTGAGCACTAGACCCTTATCATCCTAGTGAGCCGGGGGTCTGAGGCACACAGAAGTGTGCAAAACACGCTGATGTCTCCCCCAGGGCTCGAGAGGAGGGGCGGTGGGGAAGGACGGAGCACTCAGTTTCCTAATCTAATCACAGATTGTGACTACTTCAAGAGGTTTCCAGCACCCACACTGACAGCGTCTGAGGCTACAGAAGGTGGCAAATCAACAGAAGGTGGCCTTTGACCTCCTTGTAAATAACAGTTTTACCGTCAGAAGCCTTCCAAATGACCTGTCTGGGCTTTAGTTTCTTAAGCTCAGAAAAAGAATAATTGGAAGCCTGCACTCAGTGCTAGCTGGTTTTTATAAATCCGGGATTGCCCAGCAATGGAAATGAGCAAGTTTCATTTGTCTGAAGCACATCTTGCCCCCACCCACTTTGGGACATACGCATTAGGCTGGCTATCATGTGCCTTCATTCCCAGCCACCCCCTTCACCGCCAGAACCCACAGCTTACTCCCTCAGAGTTCCCACTATCTTTGACAATGGCATTGTGCTGTCTCCCCTCATGTGGATGGGACATGTACCAGAGACACGCAGTGACTGGCCCAGCATTGCACAGCCAGTGCGTGCAGACCCGAGGCCAAGAACCCTAGAGGGTCAATTCCTAAAATGGTAAAGCTTACTTGACAACAGTGGATTCCAAAACCTTTTTTTTTTTTTTTTCCATCCAGCTTTCTTCCAACTATTTATCCAATGATTCTGCATTTCTAAGCCTTGGTAAGCCAATGAAATCCCATGCAGAAGAGATCAAAACACTGAAGTTCCTCCCACTCTCGTCTGCTAGGAATGTGCCAGTCAAGTCCCAGCATGCTCTGCACACTCTGAACTTGGTCCAGCCTTAGGGCTTTTACTTTCACTCTTTCCCTGACCCCCGGTTCACTGAAGCCACTCCTCCTGGCACCTCCCTCAGCAATTACTAATCTGAAGTTATTTCTCTGCCTCACTGGCCCATGAGCCCCACAACAAAAGGACATTCACCCAAAGAATTCCCCCGTCTCAGTCCCTTTGCTCTCCCAGAGCAGAGGCTGTCAGGAAATTTTAGTTGAATGAATTCACGAACCAATGACTGAAGCCAGGGAGTCTCCACCCACTGCCTACAGAAGCACCTGTTCCATGTTCAGAGAACACAGCTGGAAACATTGTCCTCTACTGTGGAAAACAATAATCATGTGCCTAACACAGGACTGAGGCAACTTACTTGATCACTCATGCCTCATGTTCCTCATTTGGAAAGTGGGAGCAATAGTACAGTCCTGAAGATGGAAGAAGTTATTAGGGAGAGAACAATTGGATCAGAGATCTCATGTATACTGTCAGAAGGTGTCAGCCATTGTTACTGGCAGAGGGAGGAAGGGAGCAGGCAAGTGGAGTGACAAATGATGCTGAAATCATAGCATCCTCATCTTATCAAGTAGAAAATTAGGACTGTGGTTAAGAATCATTCAGCTGAAGAGGCCAGCTTTCTGGTATAGTGAACTAAGCAGTTGCCTCCAATGCTGGCATCCCCTTAGGGGCGCCAGTTCAAGTCCCAGCTGCTTCACATCCCATCCAGCTAGCTCTCTGCTGATGAGCCTGAGAGCAGTAGAGGATGTCTTCTGGCTTTGGTTTGCCTCAGCCCTGGCTGTTGTGGACATTTGGGGAGTGAGCCAGCAGATATATATATATATCCCTCCCACCCTCCCTCTCTCCATCCATTCCTCCCTCCCTCCATATAGCTGTCTTTCAAATAAATAAATAAATAGATACAGAATGGAAGAGAACAGAAATGGGGTGGGGATGAGTTGGGGAAGAAGTAGGAAGGAGAAAGATGAAAAATTCAGCTGAGGCCAAGATGCTGGTGGGATGTGGCCAAGGCACTGAACCCAGGACTGTGGGCAGAGGCTGTGCTTTTAGCCACTGTGCCCTGCTGCCTCATGTCACCTGTCGCAGCCCTTCTTGCCTGGGAACCATGTTCTGCTGAGAGCCAGGCTGGATCCTTGTGGAGTGCTGGCGAGCCTTTCACACAAATGCCTAACTCTCCAGAGGAGAGAAAGAGCAACAGTGAGGGAAGGAGGGCTTAATGACTGCAGTCTGGGCTATATTTTAAGTTTTACTCTTTAACAGTCTGGGCCAAAGACAAATAAGGTATCCCTTGAACTATTATAAGGTGACTTTCATCCCAAAATACCTTTAATTTTGCCCAAGTGCTGATGGCATCTTTCCAGCACATGATCTTGCCCCTTCAAAGTTTTCATATGTAATTCTATGGAGCCAATTTCTACTGGTTTAAAAAAAAATCATATAATAAGGGATGAAGAGGAAAAAACAAGAAAACTGCTTTAGGGGGAACAACTTTAATTGCAGTGTTCACGGAGCAAAGCAATGTTTTGAAGCAGAAGTGGGTGGAATAGGCATGCATGAATGGTTTTAGCCCAATACATGCTTTCAGGAGCAAGAGTGACAGATTTTTCTGTGTATATTCATATTCAACAAGGCAGCAAGCAAGCAGTTAACCATTTATCAGGGATAAGGGCCCAGCATGGGGTCTGGGCAGAGATTTCGGAAAAGCTCAGGTTTAAAAATCTGACAGTGAACAACTGCCAAGTGGACTTGCCTTTAATAGGAGTTAATGTAATAATTGGCCTGGGAGTTTTAACCAAAAAAAGTAGAGGCTTTGAACTGATGGAAACAAAAAAGAAAAATCTCCTGGCAGTTTTATTAGCTCATATGATCAGCAGCATATGATAAACGACGCGGCCTGGGGCCTTCTTTGCAAAGTCCTGGATTTTGCAAACAAGGAAAGGTTCGGTCCTGGGGTGAGGGGACGGGACTTGAGCAGTGTAAATTGTTGAGTCATGGACGCTGCTGCTGAACGTAGGAGGCTGAAGTCAGTCCAAGCCTGTGTTTGCTAGGACAGGAAGAGATCTTCAGAGTCTTCTAAACTCATTCCTTTCGGACATGGGAAAACTGACACCCAATATGTGTGATTTGGCCAATCTCACTTAGGAAACCAGAAAGGTGCCTGGCATGATTCAGCTTCAGCCACTCCAGGGCCCTGTTTCTGTTCCCAGGGTCCAAGAGGGACTGCCTATGAGCAAGACTAAGGGTAGAGGGTGGAAGTGGGAGCTGGGTGGGCAGGGGGAGCACATAGCGCGTCCTTGCCATTGTCACCTGCTGACTGCTGCGTGGTCTTGACCTGTGTGGTCATCCTTCACTCTGCAGCCTGCCTTCAAGGGCCTCACCTTCACTGACCTGCCCTTGTGCTTACAACTGAACATCATGCAGCGGTTGAGTGATGGCCGGGACCTGGTCAGCTTGGGCCAGGTGGCCCCTGACCTGCATGTGCTCAGCGAGGACCGACTGCTGTGGAAGAAACTCTGCCAGTACCACTTCTCCGAGCGGCAGGTGGGTGGGTCCCTGCTGGCCTTGCTCCATGCTCCTCCTTCCCTTCCCCTCATCTGAAGCTCCCCCAGGCCCGCATCCTTAATTCAAGCACTGTTTACACCCCACATCCACCAGAGCTCCCTCCTTTGACTAGATAAGGATACTCTAAAAAGGTCCTAAATAAATGTTATCCACCTAGTTTGATTTAAAAAAAAAAAAAAAGCTTACATTCTTAACCTATTCACATTTAGCAATGTGCTCCAAAAAAAATCTTAAGTTGGCACTATCCCCCTTCCATAACAAAACGCTTGCACTTTTATGGCGTTGTACAGGTTAAGTGCTTTTTGCAGATACTATTTTATTCTATAATGGATATCTGTCAAATCCCCACCTTACACCGGTGAAGAGAGGGAGGCCACCAATGGCTAACTGACACATCCACACAATCAAAGCAGCTCTCAGGGTGAGAGAGCTGGCCTTGAACTTGAATTGGGGCCTTCAGACATCAAGGCTGGGCTTGTTTCCCTGAGTCATTCTGCCTCAATTCTTTTTCTGATTTCTTTAAATAGATGTGTTGAGTTCAACACGTTCCATTCAGGAAGCCACGACTGTTTAAACATAAAACAGAGCCATGATGCAAAGTGGTTATTGCATTTCTCTGGAAGCCCATAGCAGAAAACAGGTTCGCAGTTGTTTTTCAAGATCAGCTGAACACTACAGTGCCATCCAAATGCAACTTTGTAAAGAAAGGTCACCAGCAATAGGTCACTATGCACCTGTTTCTCTAAAAGCTACTGTTTAACTGAGGGAGCAAAGAGAGGACTTCTTTATAATATGGCAGTTCTTCCCTACCCCAACCCCCAACCATAGGAGAGATTTTTTTTTTTAATGGCAAAGAAGATGAGGATAGAATTTTTCAGAACCACAAAGCCACAAAACATCCTCTTAATGGATTTACCCACAGCAACTACATTTATTCATTTGCCTTTCAGATTCGTAAGCGATTAATTTTGTCCGACAAGGGGCAGCTGGATTGGAAAAAGATGTACTTCAAGCTGGTGCGGTGTTACCCGAGGAGGGAACAGTACGGAGACACCCTCCAGCTCTGCAAGCACTGTCACATTCTGTCCTGGAAGGTAAGAGTCCCTGCTCCGCACACTGGGCAACTTGCAAACACCTGTGCTTCCCTCCCCGCTTGATTGACGTCTGAAATTGTTATTCCCTTTGTTCTAATCATCTATTTCTCTGATCCATGAAAAAGCCACACTGACTAAAACATCATGTTTTTATATAATTAATCACATAAAGGGCATGAATTTCACACATTTGTATATACAAATTTAAGAACATAATGACCCTTCCCACCGTACCCTCCCAGTCTCCCTTGCTTCCATTGTCCCTCTTTCTTCCTTTCTCATTTTTTTTTTTAATTTTCACAAGGACATACTTTCCATTCCCATTATAATCACAAGCTTTGCTCTCCACTAAACAAGATACTTAACAAGTAGGAGGAGGAAACACCATGGTTTCCCAGTTCATAGGCAAGGGTTATGAACAATCGCCAAATCTCAAAATGTCAGTTTCACTCAAACACTTTTTTTTTTTTTGGTACTCTGTATATTAATTGCCACCTGGCTTTTTTTTTTTTCAAACTACCCCATCCCTCAACACTAAAAAGTTCCCCTGTCTCTGTATGCACAGGCACACACACGTATGCAAACACAGTTTTTTAGATTCCTCCAGACAGGTGGGTTCTTGATTGGGAAATACTGCTTGGAAGTGGGAATATGCCTAATGGTACGAAAGCTAACAAGAGGCCTCTGATGGCATGACCCTGACCATGATGTTCCTTTCCAGGGCACCGATCACCCCTGCACAGCCAACAATCCAGAGAGCTGCTCCATCTCGCTCTCCCCCCAGGACTTCATCAACCTGTTCAAGTTCTGAATCTCAGTTCATGACTACACTGCCCAGCAGGGTCCCCTTCTGATGACTGGATGGCCTGTTGGCTGGCTGGGAGGACGGAGCTTGGGCACTCCATTTGTAAATAATGTACATTTTTATAAACGTTGGCTCGAGATTTCGGAAATGAGTCCTGCAGAGAAGAGAGTGCCGCAGCCAGCCTGGGGATGTGGGGACGTGAACCTGTCCCCTGCAGTAGTATGGAACGGCACAAATGCTATCAATAAACTTTGTCTAACAACCGGCCAGGGAGACTCCCACAAGCAAGACCTCTCTGTCAAGGGGGAAAACGGAATTCATCTTCATGTTCCTGGAAGCTCCTTCACAGCTCCCTAGGAAGAAAAAAGCAAAACTCACCTAGAAGATAGGACCCCTCTTTGTTAACAATGTGAAGAATCTGTTTAGGGAGAAAGAAAGAAAAGCAGCATAACCACAGTTGCGAAACCTTGGGCTCTATGGCTGGGGTTGGGGTTTGTTTGGGAAAGGCAAAGAAGCCCAGCCCATCTGTGACGTGCTTGTGCCTGGGACCTGATCCTTGGAAGCCTCCACACAGTGGTCTACCTCTCAAAGCACGGTGCGTGCCCTCATGGCATGCACTGCCCCCTAGACAGTGTCTGCCCGTCTCGTATTTTCAGAACTATAAAAAGTGATTTAAAGTGGAAAGCGATGCTGGAAGCAGCATTTTCATTTCAGTCTTCCTTTTTAGGCAAACATAGCCCTCTCTTCAAGTTTTCCTTCTAACAATCCCCAAATCAGTGGAGCCTTTTGTCCTTCCGTGTTGTGGATCATCTGGGGAGACGACAGACCCAATGAGAACAGCCGCCCGGACAAAGTCCTGCTGCATGACGACAGAATTTAGTCACCCCCTGGCGGTGAAGACTTTCGTCTTCCTGTTCAACTTCGCAGAGGGGGCCGGGCTTCCTTGGATATTGTCATGGAGGAGTCTCAAGCGTGGTGACTTCGCCAGCAGGTTTTACGGTTTGGCCAACGACGAGGACAAGTTTCCAGCTGCTGTTCCCCTTGGTAGAGGGAGGAACTGCAGAGTTTTTCTTTAGGCCCAACATTAAAAGGTAGTCACCCTGAGTCAGGGCTTCCTGCAAGGGTGTTGGAAATCAAAGCCTGGAGTTACAGATGAACGCGAGGGCAGAGGTACTGCGCATTCCCCCTGACCTTGTTTCAGCGGCTCCCGGAGGATTTTTCCAGGCAGATGACAGCAGAGCACTGTGGGAGAAAGGAAATTTCAGGACTTGAAGAGGGGGGTGGGGATGTTTGGGGTTTGTTGTTTTGATTTTTTTCTTTTTTCTTTTTTTTTTTTTTTACTTTTTATAGAAGGTTGCTTTTCTACAATAATGTACAGATTTGCAGTTGTACTTGCTTTTTGTTTGTTTGTTTCTCTTTCCAAATAAAGTTGCCACCTGCATGCTCTTGGCAAGTCAGTGGAGCCCACTAAGAGCTTGGTTGCCCTGCATGTGGAGTGAGAGCGTCTCCTTGGGAGGGGATGACCCTCGCTGGAGAAGGGTCTGGAAGGGGAAAGATGGCCGAGCCCTTGATTCAGATCCCACCCTTGGCAATGTGCCATTCACACGGCAGCCCTGGGAGGGGATGTCACTGCTACTCTGCGTACCTCACTTTGCAATGTCCGTGCCTACTCTCAGATTTTTTTCAGTTTCCATCCCTTTCAGATTAATAATAATCATAAGAATGACTTAAATCTTCCTTAATGAGAAAAAGGAAGTGTAAAAGAAGAAGACCTTGGAAAGGCTGAGTTTCAGAAGAGCCACAAACCCCTGAGACATCTGAGTGTGCTGCTTTCTTTGTTGTTGCTTGGCAAGCCCGTGCTGCTGCTGCTGCGGCTGCTGAAGTAGCTTCACATTGCCATGCAAGCCCTTGACTGTTAAATTCAAAAGCTGCTGCTCCTTGCATGTTCAGGTTCTCCCAGAGCTCTCACCATCTTTTCTGAAGTGTGAGGGTGAGCTGGGGATTTGGGTTTGCCCTGCTGTGAAGAGCTTTGCTAACTGTGACTCAGGGCACTTTCAGGGTGGCGGGGTTCATGGCTTTCCAAATCTTCCCACCAACCTGTGTTCATATCCATCATGGGGATGGAAAGTCCTTGGCATCTCGGGGCTTATTCTTCCCAAAACACTGGCCACGTTGTGTTGGCAGCAGACCACGGGTAAGCCCATCTTCTAGAGCAGTGCCAGGCAATAAGAAGCACTTGGGCGAAACAGCTTCTCCCATTCCTACCCTCCAGCCCCGGAACAGGGGTATGATTTTCTGAAACATTTACTGAGATGGTGCCCTTGGACTCTGCCCATTGTCCTTTGGTGTTATTACAGATGATATTGTAACAGAGTCAGGAAAATGTCTTAAGGGAAAAAAATGTGACATTGATGGTTGTCTTTGGTTGGAAGTGGAAAATGCAGAGGGAAACAGCAGGTGCAGAGGGAGAGGGACAGAAGTAGAAATGGCTCATCATGGACACTGTGGTTTGTTTGGGGGACAGCAGAAGCAGCCTTGCTGCCACAGAATGTGTGCCAGCACCATCTGTTGGGCACAAAGAGTCTTTCCGTTTTCTATTGGCAAATCTCAGGATGACCTGGGCTAAAAGCAAAAACCAAACCAAAGAATCCCCATCTTGGACCCACTAAGAGCCAGAAGAGACCTGACAGCAGAAAGTGCTAGGACCAAGGGTTCCACAGTCTTCATTGTACCTGCCCAGCCCCACTCTACGTCCCATCCAGTAATCAGACACAGATGTCAAAGATGAGGCCGTTCATGCTCCCAGAGAAGGACACGGTTCTGTCCACTGCAGGGAGAGCAGGGGTATTTGCTAGGGTTTGACCTAACCCAAAGGACATGATGTGTGGGCCATGAATCCAGAGTGTGTTGGGTATACGAGCCAGCATCCAGGGAAGTATAGAAGTCTCTCTCTTCATAGCAAGAGGCAGGGGGGAGGGGAGGGATAACTTGTTCATGCAGATTGTGTTATTACACCATACTGTTGGTTTGGGCATATGAATCACTTCAGTGGGAGGGCACAAGGCAGAAATGAACAAAAGTTCCAGGATGACCACACGCCCCTAGAGTGTCTCTTGTGAGATGATAAGCAATTGTATGTCAAAGGGAATTGGCGGAGATTTTGTAGAAAGGCTGGATTTGTACCAACACTGAGCGGGCTGGACTTGCTCATGGGAGGGAGGGCGGTGCGCATGTGTTTGGCCATTGCCGCAACTCTCACCCCGTGGGTTCATGGACCTTTTCCCACGAAAGGGATCTGCTGTGGACAAGGGCACTTGGTTTCTACCGTTCTGACAAGAGGACAAAGAGCTGGCGTTCCTTTTGCCTGGGAGCGAGAGGTGTCACTGACAAAGCACTCAAAGAGACATTCAGTGGTGTGTCATTCTTAGTGTTGAATATAATGTTTATTAGAATATGGCTCACCTGAGTTTATATTTTTCCTGCCAAGCTGTAAGGCAATAATGTTTGGCTATGCAAACACTGTTTTATGTGTTGATTTTTTTAACTGTAATTTTATGCGTGCTTTCTTTTTTCCTAAACTAAATTGTATCATCATTTTCTGTGTTGATATCTGTTGCTTTTTTCATCTCTTTCCAACTATCTGAGTCGCTGAGTCTGCGAACCATCTCTTCTGACTGGCTGCAGGCCTAAAATCCTATTAGTGCTTAAACAGACCTCAGAAGCCCCTGAACCACCAGGCAAAGGTAGAGATGTGACATTATGATATACCCTGGGCTTCCACAAACAAGGTCACAATTCCTTCAAATCTCATGTTTTCTCTAGATGTTTTCTTCTTTGTACTGTCATGGAGCATAAACCCTCTGTGGTTTCCCAAAGGGGGAAAAAAAAAATCACTGTCCCAGACATTAGGGACCCAACAGGGATGCGAGAGCCAGCGGAGTCTGACAGCCCTGCTGCCTTTCTGGATGCAGAAGTGGGTTCAGAAGACTTGGGAGTATGCCCCCTGCCACCCTCAGTCCTCAGTGATAGAGCTGAGTATAAACAAGGGGCTTCCCAAGACTGACTTTACACATCCAGTACTCTCAGCCTGAGCATCTGTTGTGTTCAGTGTTGGACACAGCTCTGCAGACGCTGGACGGTCAGTGGAATTCACTGGACCTTCCCAGGGAAGGTCCTGCAGACTGACTATCTGGACCTAGGGCTGTGAGCTTCCCCAGTATTTCCAGTCTCTGATTCTTCCTGGAGAGGTGAGGAAGCCCTGTCGGGTCTCTGCAGCCCTCTGACTCTACTGGGGACGCAGCATTCTGTGTGGATGGATGGCCAGCTTGCAAGAAAGCAAGCAGCATGTTATGACAAACTCACTTTCTTCTTTCAACGTCGGTACAAAGATGGCCCTCCTAAAAGTAAGCGAGGGCTGAGCAGCAGTGTGTTTTCCAGAAATTGGGATTCTAAAGGCAGCTATGCCAGCATTTCCTCCACCCTATTCATCTCCTCTTCCCCCCCGCCCCTCCAGCACCGATAGTGAGGTCCAGTGTGTTTATAGCCCAGCAGATATTCACTCTCTGCCAGACTTGGTCTTCACTAAGTGGGGGGGCAGGGGACACAGGGAGGTATCTAGCCCATCAGACATCCAGGAGCCAGGGCCATGATATGTGTGACTTTGCAAAGTGTTCTTGAATTCTCTCAACAAACAACTGTTCCTAAAGAAAACTCTCGAAACTTCAGCCCTGTGCCATTTGACCAAAGCTGGATGGCTGCTTCAACACTCTGAACTCCTTATAACTTGTACAAAGCTGCTTATAGTTTGATCATAGGCTTTTCGGTCTTTGAAGTTAGACATGTCTGTTGAATTAATGACAAAACGGAAAGCTCCAATCCCTGCTGTGCACTTGTAATCCTTGGCACCATCTTTATTCTACCAAGTGCCAATCACCCAGGCTAAAGGGGGTGTGTGTTACAGCTATGTCCTAAGCTTAGAAGCTTGAATGTACTTCTTTTTTAATGAAAAACACCATATGGGGTTTCGACATTGTAGCTAAAAGTATAAGGGTAGACCAATTACATGCAATAATGTTTATTTAATATGGTGTGAGCTGAATCTTTCTGTATAAATTATTTGCACACTTTTCCTGCATGTTGAACTGATTTTTTTATAGTTGTTTGTACCAGACAGTGGCATATTTTTGTAAAAATTTTTTGACACTGAATTGCAATAAATGTTTTTCCAACAACACACACTGTGTATCTGCTGTATGCCAATTCAAATAGGCTTTATATTGTACTTCATATGTTCATCTTTTGCCTATTGAAATTTATATTCCTTCTCCCAGAAACTTGTTAGCATTATTGTGAAATTCCTTAGAACACATAGAAAAGGGCCCAGTGCAGTAACCTAGTGGCTAAAGTCCTCGCCTTGAACATGCGAGGATCCCATATGGGCGCCGTTTCTAATACCGGCAGCCCCGCTTCCCATCCAGCTCCCTGCTTGTGACCTGGGAAAGCAGTTGAGGACGGCCCAAAGCCTTGGGACCCTGTACCCGTATGGGAGACCTGAAAGAGGTTCCTGGCTCCTGACTTCAGATTGGCTCAGCTCCAGCCTTTGCAGCCATCTGGGGAGTGAATCAATGGACAGAAGATCTTTGTCTCTCCTCCTCTGCATATCTGACTTTGCAATAAAAATAAATAAATCTTATTTTTAAAAATACATAAGGGGGAAAAAGTTTGTTGATTAATACTAACCTGGTTCCATAATATAGCACTATGCTTAAATTGAATATTCCAGAAACTACTTATATATTAAGAGGAGCAAAGAATAATAAGTTTTGAAGTCACCATCAACTTACCCATCCATATTTTTGGAACAGCTACTATACTAGACCTAGACAGAAGTACTGGAAAAGGGGACAAGCCGGAAAAGAAATTTAGATTCCATGTAAGAAAGACAAAAAGAATAGCAACTAGGGCAGAAATTGTAGTAAATATTGCTATGGTAACGTAGGCTAAACCAACATCTGTGGACCAGCATCCCATATGGGTGCCAGTTCAATTCCTGACTGCTCCACTTCCAATACAGCTCCCTGCTGCTAATGCTGCTGGGAAAGCAACAGAAGATGGCTCAAGTGCTTGGGTCCCTGCCCCCCATATGGCAGACCTGGATGAAGTTTCAGGTTCCTGGCTTTGGCCTGTACCAGCTCCAGCTGCTGTGGCCATTTGGGGAGTGAACCAGAGGATGGAAGATTTATATTCTCTGTCTTTCTGTGTCTCTCTCTCTCTGTCTCACTCTCTCTCCGTTTCTTTCCCCTCCCTATCCCTTCTCTTTCTCTGTAACTCTGCTTTTAAGATGAATAATCTTTTTTAAAAATAAATATTACAAAGGAAATAAACATGGGACTTGAGCTGTGAATAACAGGGGGACCTTCTATGGTGGACTTCACTCAGGGGTCTCTCTCAGAAGTCCTGTGCAAGTTGGAACCTGAAAAGTTGAGAAGCCAGTCTCAGAAGAATAAGAGCAAGAATGTTCCAGAAAGGAAACATTGTGTACAAGGTTCGAGCCATGGTCCTGCCGCTCACCTGCAACGTGACATTTATCATCGTACTTAATTTCTCCATCTCAATTTCTGGACTCTGAGATGATGATTATGCTCTCTCAGGCTAAGGAAGCAACACTGTTGTTACACTTAGGAGCTTGGCACCCAATGTGAGCTCCACAAATGTTAATGACTGTTATCGCTCCTATTAGCATGCTTCTAAGGGCTACTCTTTTCACTGGTTTAATCAGGTAATTTGCCTAGGGGTGCTCTCATTCTGGGCCACGCCCTGCCACTGCCCTAGTTCTCCAGCAGGTACTACCACAGTAGGTTCCTAACAATAATTAAGGTTGATTATTTCAATCCTTCCCCAAGATCACCAAATCTGACCATTCCCTCCATTCCCTGAACATGCATTGCTCAGGCTGTCTACCTCCTTAGCACCTGTGGCCTCTTAGGGTCACCTCTGCTCCATGCCTGAGTCAGTTGGGGGTAAATCTCACCTCCCTAACTCATGTTTGCTAGGGACTATATCACATTGCTGTCTTCTTAGTGCCCATTTTATCACACCTGGCACAAAAGCAGGATTGACTGAATTAATAAACCCAGCCAATGCATCTTTAAAATGCCTTCAAAATTCTCCCAGCCACATGCAGGTCCTTAACTAGATTAAGAGTTCATGTGCATGGGCATCTGGGCTGAAACTAATGGTGGTAGGTAAAGTAACTGTTACAGAGGCCCAGGTGTCATTAAAACTTCCTGAAAGTTCAACTAATGAATGAATCTTGATATTCTACTTAGAAGTCTAGTAAATTTTAATACAAAGTAAAAGGGCCTTTTATTATTGTTAATGAACTGATCAAAGTCTGTAAAAAAAAATCTCTTTCACAAACAATTTTTAAAAATTCTTTAAACACTTTAAAGCGATAGCTGTGAACCTGAAACATTGGATTGCTAAGCACTTCAGCTGTAAATCTAATGTGTTTTTTTTCTAAAGCACTTTGAATACCTTCTCAGATAAGCTTAATACAATCCCAAATAAATAATGTAATGAATTAAGCAAAACTCTATCTCAAACTCTCTTAAAAACTGTAAACACTGTTAAAACTAGTGAAGTCATGATACCTTTCAATTTAAAGTGGTATCTGACATTAGTTGTTTATTTTAGATGAAAATCTTAAGGCTGTGCTGGGAGGCAAAACAACAGCTCCCTTCGGAAGTCCCATGCTTAATCCCTGGAACCTATGAAAATACCATTACCCAGCAGGGCCCTTAGAAGTGGAAGAAAGAGCAGACCTTTAGCCTTATGGTTAAGAGATTGGCTGAGTTGCCCACAGGCCACATAGGAATGCCTAGGTGTAGGCTAGAGTTCTGGCTCCTGATTGCAGCTTCACACTAATGTAGACATTGTAGGTAGTGATGATGGCACCAGTAAGTGCATCTCTGCCACCCAAGGCAACCTGTGGGTTGAGTTCCTAGCTCCTGGCTTGGCTCTGGCCCAGCTCTGACCATTGCAGGCATTCAGTTTGTGAACCAGCATGTGGAAGATCTCCCAATCTCTGTCTCTCTCTCTCAATCTCTCTCTATCTCTGTCTTTTAAACAATTAATATGAATGAAGTTTTTTTTCTTTTTTTTAAATTTGATTATTTTATTGGAAAGGCAGATGTACGGAGAGAAGGAGATACAAAGAGAAAGATCTTCCATCTGCTGGTTCATTCCCCAAATGGCTGCAACAGCTGGAGCTGAGCAAATCTGAAGCCAGGAGCTAGGAACTTCTCCCAGGTTTCCCGTATAAGTGCCAGGGTCCCAAGGCTTTAGGCCATCCTCTACTGCCTTCCCAGGCCAGAAACAGGGAGCTGGAAGGGAAGTGGAGCAGCAGGACCAGAACTGGCACCCATACAGGATCCCAGCGCATGCAAGGCAAGGATTTAGCCACTAGGCTATCGCACCCTGGGTTTCAATTTTTTCAGATTTTTTTTAAATTTTTAAAGATTTTTTACATTTATTATTTTATTTATAATATTGTTTACATAGTTGGGAGGGATACATGCCGTGTGAACCTCCGATTTGGGTAAGAAGTATTGTGGTAAGAAGGAAGGTGAGTGGGACAAATATCTCTCTTTTTTTTTTCTCGTATCTGCAATCAAGGAAGAGGGAGCCACAATTTGCTGTCAAAACACATCAACACCCAGGGATGAGGGACAGTCACTTGATGACTCCATCTCTCTCTCTTTCTCTCTCTCTCATTCTCTCTCTCTTTCTCTCTCCCTCTCAAACAACTTTTTTTTTTTAATGTAGAGGAACAAAACCAAGGAGGTCACAATGATACAATATGAGAGCTCAAACTGCCATTGCTGGCTTCAGAGAGGGAGGAAGGGAGCCACAAGCCAAGGAATGAGAACAGCATCTATCACCAAAAGAAGGATAAGGAAAGGGATTCTTCCCTAGAGCCCAGAGCTCCCAGGAAGTTCTACAGCCCTGCTAACTGCCTGACACTAATCCCACAACACCTGTGTCAGCTCCAACCTGCAAGACCATAAAATTTTTAAATTTGAATTCTTTTAAGCCACGAGATGTGTGGTGACTTCTTATGACAACAGTAGAACACGATCAGGTTCCCCAGTACACACCCAGCAGCCCACCCCTGCACAACTTCTCCCTGCCTGTTTCTGCACCCTCAGGCAAGTTCCCATCACACCATGGCCCTCACCCCAAGCTGGGCCAGGCTTTCTGCAAAGACAGGTCTCAGCCCAATTCAGCAGTAAGACTTACTGAGACCCCCCAGCTGTGCAGAACTGCCAAGGCTCTATAAGCCGATCATTAGTGTTAACAGAATGCTGTCTGAAGCTTATCTTATTTTCCCAGAATTTTCAGAGAACACAGAGAACAAATGGCAAGGAGTATCCCACATTTTAAGTTCAATGGGGGAGAGGGGAAGCCACCTCCCTGAGGGGCCTCCCAGGAGGCTAGAATTGACTCCACCCCATCCCACCCCAACCCCCATTTCCTGCATAAAAGAAGTGGGGAGAGAGAGCAGATCCCAGCAGCTGAGAGAAGAGCAAAGTGTTCCCAGAAGGAGCCTCCCTCCCCCACCCCACCTCCATGAGTCACAGTGAGGACTCCAGGGAAATCACGCAGAAAGCCCAAGAGTGCCCAGGACCCACAAGGCTGGCACCTCATTCCCCTGGGCCTGGCTTCTTGAGCAACAGTCTCACAAATGTTTGCAGGCTAGGAGCAGAGACTGGGAAAGGACACAGGCCAGCGAGCTGCAGGGGGAAGTGAGAGAGCTCGCAGCATGCCCAAGAGAGGGCAAGGGTGGGAGAACTTTCCAGGAACTGACTGGATACCAAAAAAGTAGGTGGGGCTAGAACCCTGCATCTCATTAAGGGAGTGTTTCTCCCCAACCCCCACCCCAGGCCAACATGGGCTCCAGCTTCCAGGAAGGAGGTGGGGACTGAAGTAGGTTGGGAGGAAAAGGCTGTTGAGGCCAGAGGTCCTATAAGAAATGAGTGTGGGAAAAAAATAAATCCATAAAAATAGAGTCTTCCAATTTGAGGGGCCCATGAGTGCATGGGGGAAGCCAAGTATACAATCCAATAGTTCACATGTCCTACCACCAAGTACACAGGAGATGCAGCAGAGACTCCAGAATATTTAGCTTATGTGGAATCGACTTTCCTGTGTTCCAATAGCCTCATCTGTCAA